GAGCTGTTAATCAATCATTTTTGGTTCGAAACAAGTTTTGTCTCGACTCGACGAAGTTGAAAAAGCCAGAATGTTTCTGGCAGCTACGTCAACAATTTATAAGTATGTGATTAGGTCAGTTTATGGGGAACCACTAGCGATAGGTCAATGATATTTGGTATGCAGTTCTATCATCATTGGCATATCTCATTTCCATGGAAATTATTTAGCCCTGCCCCTTGGTCATAGTCATGACCTTAAAACTTTGCTTAGTTTATTTGTATTAGTTTGTGTTAAGGCCAGTTTACATCACCTACTTTACATGATGTCTCTATTAATGACTTGCTGCCATTTATACAAAAGCCGTTAGGTATTCATCACATTCGCACGAAACTTTATGCATTACCCCTTTCAAAACTTCATTCTCAGTTCAATTTATGTTTGGAAACCACTGTTACAAACCCTCATTCAAACCAATACAAACTTACAGCTATCATTTCGGATATTGCAAGTCACAGACTTTTCAAACCAGTTCGCATTAGAAAAGATGAAAAAGAGAAAAGATCTTTTCTTAAACTTTCCTTTGCCAAAAAAGGTCTCGATGGCGTCAACTAAGGCAATATCCTTCATCATAAATTAGTTCAGTCGAAAATACCTCCTTATTTTAAAGATCAGTCTGTACCAATAATTTCTTATACCTATACCAAACCAATTGCAACTAAAATTTTCAATTACTAATATAACACGTTTTGCAGGATCTCAACATTGACGACTTTCAAGTCTAAACCTCCTGATTGCACCTGTGCTATTTCCCAATTCACATATAATCCGGCTGGCCACGTTATTACCGGAGACCTCAACATTGTCAATAACACTTCCCTGCGAAATTTGTTATCCAAAGGTCCGAAATATCGTGAGCCTAAATCCATCAATTGGAAATACAACTTCAAAATACTGATGGATTCAGTCGAGGATTATGCCAGGCAATGGGCTAAACGCGAGAAAGAAGACGTAGATACTCTTTCCGAATGGATTAAGGCTGTGAGGTCGTTGATACAAATCCGAATTAAGAAACTAAATGGGTCTATCAATACCCACGCTACGTCAATTTTTAAAGACCCAAATGTTGCAAAACACTTGTCCTACCTCCATGACAAATATGTTGTTGTCCCCGCAGATAAAGCCCCAAACAACTTCGTTTTTGTGTGTAAATATCATTACATAAACTGCTTGATAAATGAAATAGGTATTGACAATTCACTTGGAAACTCGACATATACCCACACAACACTTACCAAAGAGGAAATCCTGGATAATCATAGGTCTGTTCTATGTTCCTTTGGAATTTCAACCAAAGATGAAGAACTGGATCTACCATCACTGTATTTGATACCTAAACTACATAAGTGTCCTTACAAACAACGGTATATTGCTGGGTCTTCCAAGTGCTCCACGAAACCTCTCTCTAAATTATTAACATCTATTTTATCAGCAATCAAAGCTGGGCTCCAAAGTTATTGTGAAACTGCCTATTCTAGAGGTGGCGTGAATCAGATGTGGATACTAAAAAATTCCAAAGATCTTTTAGAGTACATACAATCTAAGACTCTCTCATCTTGTAATAGTATTAAAACATTTGACTTTTCTACACTTTACACAAGTATTCCCCATTCCAAACTAAAAGACAAATTGAAAGAGTTGGTATTACTTTGTTTCATTAAAAAGAATGACGAACGTAGATACAAGTATCTTGTCTTGGGGAGGGATAAAAACTACTTTGTAAAAAATCACTCCGATTCAAACAAAAAAATCTCTGAAACTGACATTATCAAGATGCTTGATTTCTTGATTGACAACATATTTGTTATGTTTGGAGGACGTGTTTTTCAACAGACTGTCGGAATTCCAATGGGAACCAATTGTGCCCCTCTTCTTGCCGACTTGTTTCTTTATTATTATGAGGCTGACTTCATACAGGAACTTCTTAGGAAGAAAGATAAGAAGTTAGCAATATCCTTTATTTTTACGTTCCGCTATATAGATGATGTTCTCTCACTAAATAATACAAAATTTGGTGACTATGTTGAACGAATCTATCCCATCGAACTAGAGATAAAGGATACTACAGATACAGTTAAGTCTGCCTCATATCTTGACTTACATCTAGAAATTGACAATGAGGGTCGGTTGAAAACAAAACTTTACGACAAAAGAGATGATTTCAGCTTCCCAATTGTGAACTTTCTATTTCTATGTAGCAACATTCCAGCAGTGCCTGCATACGGAGTATATATCTCCCAATTGATACGATATTCCCGGGCTTGTATTTCCTATCATGATTTCCTTGATAGAGGATTGCTGCTCACAAGGAAGCTATTAAACCAAGCGTTCCAAATGGTGAAGTTGAAATCATCCCTTCGTAAATTTTACCGACGCCATCACGAGTTGGTAAACCGTTATAGAATAACCGTTTCACAGATGATATGGGATATGTTCCTTATGTCGTTACAACAATACCCTCCCTTTTCACAAATGTGACCTACCGAATTAGACTATTTACCGGATTTGTAATAACATAAGCAACACGACGGGTGCCACATGTGGAGCAGGATCTGTTTACCCTTCCGGAGCACCTGAGATCAACCCCAGTTTTTGATGGGGTTCGTGTTGCTTAGTCTTTAGTTTTCTATGTTGTGTCATCTGTACTATTATTTGTCTGTTTGTCTTTTTATTTTTGGCCATGGCGTTGTCAGTTTGTTTTCAATCTATGAGTTTGACTGTCCCTCTGGTATCTTTTGCACCTCTTTTAAGGGGAACCATTGGTGATAGGTCAATGATATTTGGTATGCAGATGTATTAGCATTGGCACATCTCATTTCCATGAAGATTATTTGGCTCCAACTCCTCAGTCATAGTTTATTGACTTAAATGTTTTGCATACATTGTAGTTTACATTTTAAAGTTTGTGATTAGATCAGTTTAAGATGAACCGCTAATGTTAAGTCAATGATATTTGGTATGCAGATGTATAAGCATCGACACATCTCATTTCCATGGAGATAACATGGCCCAGCCCACTATCATTGTAACTTTTAATAGTTTGCAAGTTAAAGTTTGTGTTTAGGTTAGTTAATAGGGATTCATTCACGATAAATCAATGGTATCTTGTATGCAGTTTAATAAGCATTGACATATATATATTATTTTTATATAAATGGAGGTTATTTGGCCCTGCACCTTCAGTCATGGTTCATTGACTTTTGATGTATTACATAGTTTAAATGTTTGAATATTGCTATTTAAATTTAACATTTGCATTATACTATCATAAACTGTTAACACAGAGATATGTCTCGCCTATTTGTTATTTTGATCATGCAAATGTTGAAATTAAAATAGCAATACTTTAACATGTAAGTTATGCAAATATTCAAAGTCAATGAACCATGACTGAAGGTACAGGGCTAAACAATCTCCATGGAAATGAGATGTGCCAATGCTAATACAACTGCACACCAAATAGCATTGACTTTAGTCCTTCCCTTTAAACAAACCTAAACACAAACATTTAATAACTTGTAAACTATGTAAAAGTTTCAAAGTCAATGAACCATAATTAGGGGGTGAGGTTATATAATCTCCATGGAAATGAAACTTGAAAATGCCAATACATTTGCATACTGAATATCATTGACTTAACATTAGTTGTTCATCTTTAACTGACCTAATCACAAACTTATATATGTAAACTAAGCAAAAGTTTCAAAGTCAATAGACCATGAATGAGGGGGCGGGGCCAAATAATCTCAATGGAAATGAGATATGCCAATGCTTATACAACTGCATACCAAATATCATTGACCTACCACTAGTGGTTCCCCATAAACTGACCTAATCACAAACTAATACATGTCAACTAAGCAAAGTTTCAAAGTCAATAGACCTTGACTGAGGGGGCAGGGCCAAAAAATCTCCATGGTAATGAGATGTGCCAATGCTAATACAACTGCATACCAAATATCATTGACCTACCACTAGTGGTTCACCATGAACTAGACCTAATCACAAACTAATACATTGTTGACGCCACTGCCGACGACGGAAACAGCATACCTATGTCTCGCTTTTTGACTCCGTCAAGGCAATATAAAAATAACAAAAAGATGAGACATATCTCTGTCAACAGTTTATTCTGTTAAGGATAGTTTTCACAGCCTTAGTCTGCCATGTAAGCTATATCATATAGTCATGTTAATTGTTAATTTAGTTATTTTTAACACCTTTTTTTCATTCACATTCAAGATACGAAGAAGATCGGTCAATACAAAGAATCTACAATTAGTTTTCAAGTATTCTGAAAAAGATAAAGAGCAAATTGAACTGTGAGGTATTGCTCAATATTTATAGGTATTGCTCACTAATAATAGCTATTGCTCCCTAATTTTAATTGATTCAATAAGTATTCTGTAAACAAGAAGTTGATGAGTAATGGATGAATAACGTGAATCACACAGTATAAAATTGAGAATGGAAACGGGGAATGCGTCATAGAGACAACAACCCGACCAAAGAGCAGAAAACAGCCCAAGGCCACCAATGGGTCTTCAACACAGCGAGGAAAAACCCTCACCCATAGGCGGGCTATAGCATGCTCACATGATGATTGATTCCAAATTTCAGAACCCCTTGATTTGTAGTTCCTCAGAAAACTTGCATCCAATTTTTTTTTATAAGACCATTATGTGGAAGAATATACAAGTATTTGGTAAACAGAAGGTCGATGAGCTATGAATCTGAAAATGCATCACACAGGATATCATGCTCACAAGAAGCTTGATACTAAGTTTCAGGAAGCTTGTAGTTCCTGACAAAATTTCTACCAAAATTTTATAGGACAGACAGAAAGGAGTAAATTCCCCTCCATTCAGATCATGGGGTATAATTAATTCCAATTATTTCGTGAATTAATTATACATTACTCTGTGAATGGTAAAAACAATTCTGCAAGTATAACATGTGCATTGCAAGGTAAAAGAAATTTTATTTATATAGACAATTTTAACTTTTTAACAGGAGTTTTCTTAAGTGATTTCAAACTTTTTATTTTCTTGCTTGTTGATTGTCCAGACTTTTCTAAGCGTTTTCTTTTCAATGTTTTAGTTGGTTCACTTTTGACTTCATTTATTTTCCTTCTTCTTTTATTTGGTGGCGTATCTACAACATTTGGAATTTCTGTTTCTTTATCTGTGTCAACTGCCTTCTGATTCACTTGGCCTTCTTTATTACTGGATTCTGTTTCCTTACTTGGTTTACCCTCTTTAGTTTTTTTTGCTTCTGCCACAGCTAATTCCTACAAAAGATAAAAAATGAAAATGTTTATCTTTAAAATAAATGCCTCATTGCTAAAAAAAAACAATCTCCAGAGGTTCATATAAGCCTGTATCCTTCACTTGACCTCAAGGTTGTAATTGAACTATATCCATGACTTAAGAGTTGTGGTGTGATTATAAAATTCTAAAACAAATCCCGAACAGAAGAAATTGTTACAATGTTTAACTGTTTGCAAAGGTTACTGTCTCATCAATGTGCGACCCATATCTTCTTTAATTCAAAAGAACTTTCAAATGGTGTAGAAATTGTAAAAGTGTTTTTAACAAAAATTTGGTATATGCAAACTTTAAATGATAAGCACTGAACATTTTTTAAAAACAAACCCAACCTGGATAGTCATTATACATACAAGGATAACCGAGTTTCCAAATTCCAAATTTTAGTTGATATCACAAACTTTTATGTCAAAGAACTGTTAAAAAAAGAAATTGTTTTTTTTCTTTCAAATAGTCTAGGAACAACGATAAAAGCGATAGTTCAGTCATATATTACAAAGGAGATATAAAGTTTACAATGTAAAAACAAAATCTTGTGAGTTATTGGTATAAAGATGAATTCGCAAACAGAGTGCTTATAAATATAATATGCCAAAAAAAAAACCCAACTTTAAGTTAAAAACTTTCTTTGATTTCATAATCATTTATGACTTGTTTTCTTAAGAAATGGAGTTCCTGGAAAAGATTGCAAACCAAAATTAGACACGATAAAACTTACTGTAAACATATAGGAAAGGGTTTGGTGTATTAATTAAACAATAGCAGATATATTCCTTTAGGTGTTATCCTTTTTTGTGGAGTCTGCAGTATTAATTTTTCTGTTGAAAACCAATTAACATGCAATGGAAGTGACGGTTAAATCGCAGTCACCAATTCAATTTGGCAAACAAAACAAGAACTGTTAGCTATTGCTCACTAGTGATACCTCGCTTTAAAAATTCTTTAAAAATCGCCAGCTGCTTTCTGTCAATTACGTTTTCATGAAACTACGGTAAACATTACAAATGGTGTTGTCGTATGAACATTTCTTCAAATGAAAAGACAAATGCCACCTGACCAATTCTATTTGAATGAATTAATGTTGATGATCATTAAGGACCCATCCAATAAACAGATTACCTGTAACAACAATTATGACACCTGTTGTAACCGTTGATTAGCTTGGGGTCGTAAACAAAGTCATAAACTTGTCGCCAGGTAAAATTTCGTACAATTTTACTTTTACCAATTTAAATGAAGATCGATATTGTTACCGTTACTTTTTTTTACAGTCAAGAAATGAAAATTTTGACAGGAAAATGTTGGCGCCAGAAATATGGCCAGCAGCCGTATTTTTTCGCCAGATGAAATAAAAAATCGCAAATTGGGACACTGGTATATTGTCAACAGGAAGCTGATGAAGAACGATGAATCTGAAATTTTACACCTGATAAAAAAATTCCAGGAAATCTTTAGTTCCCTATAAAAATCAAACGAAAATTTGTACATGTTCTTTATGTTTAAAATATTTTAAGTATTCTGTAAACAGGAAGCTCTGAATAGTAGTTGACAGAGAGACAGACAGAGGTTAATCAGTATATCCTCTCCTTGAACTACAATCAAAATTTAAAAATTTCAGAAGGTGCTTCTTTTCTGGTTCAGTATAACAGACTGGCATTAACCAATATGAATTTAACAGACATTAAAAATTATGGTATACTTACAACATTTTTTATCTTCAATTTCACTCCAACTTTAGCCAAAGCAGCTATTCTTTTCTGATGACCTTTCAGAAATCGTTTAGCTGTAGACGTTTGTTTATTGTCCTGATTTTTTGTGTTGTGACGTTTTATGGCTAGCAAATGAGATTTGGGTTTTGAAAATTGTCTTTGTGCACCTTTAAACAACGTAGGATGCTGTTCTTCTTTGGGTACATATTTACCTGAAATATAAATCTTAAATTATTTATAAACTTAAATAATGTAATCAGAAAACCAAAATATCCACAAACAAGAAGCAGGTGTCCTTCAGATACAATAAAATGTGCAGGGCGCAGCTTTATACGACAGCAGAGGTGGTATCCTGAACAGTTGGGGCAAGTATGGACACAACATTCAATCTTGATACAGCTCTGAATTTGGATTGTGACTAAATATTTGACACGGCATAGGTTTCTGACACAGAATGATTGTAGTACATGTTCATGGGGTATCAATTTTTGTAATTTATTTTGAATAGCAACTTATACCTCAAAATCAATTTTTTGATTTAATTTTTTATTTTTTGGTGTTTTAACGCCACTTTTAAGCACCGCTTTTGGGCTATTTCGTGGCGGCCAGTTTTTATTGGTGGAGGAAGCCGGAGTGCCCAGAGTCAATTTTTTGATGATATGCTTAGAAAATAAGATGTTTCTAAAAATTTGTGATTTTTTTACCTGAATATGACACTGAAATAGCATAATAAACATATTTATCAATTCTTGTATAAATCCTAGCACAAATAGACGTTTCGCAAAATTTTGATTTTTTTTTTTACAAAAACAAAGTTTTTTTTATCCAATACATTCATATTTATACCTGATCTTCATTTCTGAATGAACTTACATTTAAGCAATCTTTCAAACATCAAATAGTTATTCATTGTTTCAGCAACTATCTTGGCAACCTCATCACAATGGAACTCTATAAAAGCATAGCCTTTGCCTTTACCACTCTGAAAAATGTAAATAAAAATTATTTGATGTATGTACAGTACACATGTAGGATGTATCAAAATATCAAATGTTTTAATAATAAGAAGGTCAAAGCTAGAATTTAAGAATGAATAAATGAATGAAAATTGTAAAAAGGCAAAAAAATCTTGAAGCCATTTTTAGGAGATGAAATTTGAGAATGAAAGTTTGCATAACGGTTTTTTCATGAAGTTTTCAAAGTCCAAAGCCCCTAATATTTGCACAAATCAGCAGAACCAAACCAAAGGTAAATTGGATCTGTAACTCATCACAGCAGACTCACATACATGTACTAAAAATCAGCTCAATATGTGAAGGCCTATAGAAAAAAAAGGTCTGTGTAACTGTTATTTTCATGAAATTTTCAGTCCAAAGCCTGTAATATTTGCTCAAATCAGCAGAGCCGAACCAACACAAACTGGATCTGTAACTCTTTACAGAAGACTCACATACTAAAAATCAGCTCAATATGTGAAGGTGTTAAGAAAAAAAGTAGGTATAACTGTTAATTTCAGCAAAAAACAGCGGAACGGAACCAAACATAACCTGTGTTAGCGGTAAAGGTCTCCACACACGCCATGAGCAAATGATGTTATTATGTGGCTAATAAAAATTCAAGGCCTTCAACACATTGCGGCAGTTTCTTTATTATGTGCATATGGGAACGTTACCTGCCATTCCACCATTGAAATTTATTCACTGGTTCTAAAGTTATGATTTTTAACCACAATTGTGACCCCTTTGTCTGTACAGAACAGCTGAACAATTGGACCGTTTTCTAGAAGTCTGGGTCACCCATACTTTTCATAATATTTTTGAAAATAGCATGATTTAAATTACATTTTGGATAATTATAAAAAAAATCTTTGGTTTTTAATTTAGATACACAATCTGCCTGAAATGAAAAGCATCACAAATAAATCGCATTTCTGCATAAAAATTTGCTCATTTTATTAAAAATCTGGGTAGATCATTTGCTGTCATTTGAGAACCATGATAACAAAAGATTCCCCTTAAATACTAGCTTTCCAACTTCTACTGTGTTTAAAATACTAGTGTCAGTTATACAAACATCAAAGCAAAGAAAATGAGTTTTGCAGCAGGGACCATTGAATCCACATATATATAAGTAATTTATACAAATAGAAGCAAACCTTTTTACTACGAGATAATCTTAATCTTGTTACTTTCCCAAACTGGCGAAAGAAATCCTTCATTTGAGGTTCAAAGAATCCATGAGGTATATTACCAAGATATACAACACCTGGTGATGTCAACTCTTTGCTCTGAAAAATAAATAATACATGGTATCAGGTCGTTCCAGCCCCAAGTCAGTTTTGTACAAGTCGATCCGGCCCAAGTCATTGCTACCCACAAAATCGATCCGGCCCCATAATAAAATAATGATAAGTTATTATAAAATTCCAATAGTTTTGTGAAGTACACGTATATGACTCAGGGTAAGTGGCAATTTGCACATGAAAAAGTTGTGTAAATTTCACTGATCAGAGGAAACATTTTAGGATGATCAATACAAAAGGTAAGTAAATTTTTATAGAAGGGATTCGGTAAATCAAACAATACTGCTCAATTTCAGTAGTTTTTAAAACTTTTAACATTTTAAAAGAAAAAAGTTTGGGTGCATTAGCTTGGTGATCAACCTGAGTGTAACCAATGTGTTAATTACAACAGTTGCTGAAAAGTTAATTCATAAGTTCATATGAAAAATGCTTATTAATGTGGACTAACGAATGATTGTATTAACTTCTGCAATGTATGATTTGAGTATAATTATGCATATCCAGTATTCTTGATACATGTAACTTCTAATTTAAAACAATTATTGGAATAAATGAAAATAATATATATTTTTAAATATGCATCAAAGTTACAATTTTTTATCGTCCACCTTTGCTGTTATTAAAAAAAATCCATTAAAATATATAAAGCTACTAGTTAAATATATATAATTTTATTCTTGTAAATTTTTTTTTAAATTGGGGCTGGATGGACATAAAATATTGGCTGAATTGTTTTGGACCGGAAAGACTTGGGGTAGGATCGATATGAATGGGGAAATCCTTACAAGCTCATTGACCACATTGTAAGACCAAGCCATCATACAGTTTTGGCCCACTGATCAAGATATTTTCTTAAAAACTTTTGTTTTACAAATCATTTAAGCAATTAGAGGCTATTGCATACGAATAACGTAAAATATTGCTTTTGAAGAGGTGGTGAAACAGGGACAAATCTAGAAAAAAAATGTGTTTTTATTATTTTGAACAGAGTTATTTCCCTTAAAAGTGGATTTTCTTAAACATATGTTTTACACTAATTTACAGATAATTTAAATTAAAACATAAACCATCTTATTTTACATTTTAACTGCTAGAGAAAACAGGGCCTGTTGTGGCTCAAAAATAGTTAAAGCTAGAAAAATTGACTTTTATTTGAAATGCGTTTCATGTTTAAAAAGAAAAAAAATCTAAGTAATCAATCAAAATAAGCCAGTATTAGGCAGTAAAGACTAAAGGCAGTATCTAAACTTAAAGCTTATACGAAGTAAAGAAGTCTTTTTACAACTAACATTTTTCTTTATCGTCTTTAATTTCGTCTCAAACGATTTTTGTTTATCTTCATCTAAAGCAACAGTCTCGGGTAGTGAGGTTTCTTTACTTTTTCTAGTCACACGTTTCTGCCTGGGAGATGCCATATTTGCTGTTCGTACAAAATCGAAATTTGTGGTTTACTTTATCACTGTATGTACAAGTCCGAAACAACCAAAGGAATCCGAAAGTAGGTTCTTTTCGTAGAGATTGAAGAAAAATCTAGATTCCGAAGAATCACCTGGCAACCATAAACAAGATGGCGAAGATCGTAATTGCAGGTATAAATGTTATTTTGTATAATTTGTATTTGTTAGGTAGCTTGTTAATTCAGTATGATAATATTTCAAAGATTGAAATGAAACGATCAATCAATACGCTTAAGATTTGACAATAAGGTGGACATACATCTGTCATGATCTGAAATGTAAAATAAACTAACTCTAAAGTACAGGGACCACTTCAGGTGTATTCTCAGTGGACATCAGAAAGTACCAGTACATACACGTATGATTACCCTAAATAACCCATGGAGAACATCATATCTTTTCACAAAAAATCTTAGGAGTAAAAATCCTCATAATTCATACACATTTCGGCAGTATAAATTACGATCAATTTTGACCGTAAGATTTTTTTTTGAAAAGAGTCGCAGGAAATGTGGCTGATGAAATGACCCTGGCTGCAAACTGTTTTTGGGGAAAATCAACTCAATTCTCAGAACACATGACAATGCATCTATTTAGGAGAATTTGCATGTTTAGTTTCTATTTCATCAAAGCAGAACCAATAGTTTCTTGCTGAAAACAATGTTAACTATATCATAATCAAGTTATGTATTTTCTTTCTCACTGCAATTTCATTTACACATGACACAATTGGATGAGTCTTTGGCCTATTAACCCTCTCTAGTCTTGCTGCCGCAGGGACACATATGTCCATATGTTTAATTATCATATGCAAAAAGTAAAATAACAAAAATACCGAACTCCAAGGAAAATTCAAAACGGAAAGTCCCTTATCAAATGTCAAAAATCAAAAGCTTAAACACATTAAATGAATGGAAAACAAATAAAAAAAAAAATGAATGGAAAACAACTGTCATATTCCTGACTAATGGTACAGGCATTTCCATATGTAGAAAATGGTGGATTAAAACTCCTGTCCTGTCTATTTTTTTCAAATTTCATCCTAGCCCCCCCATAAAAATCAAATGGTAGCTCCCTAAACAGTAAAGCCTAAAGGTTAATAATTTACAAAGACAAATAAAAGAACACTATAACACGTATTAAATTAAGAAGATAAACAACATCAGTACCTAGAATCTATACTTCAAGGACCATCATGTATTATTTGTGAAGTTGATACAGAATATTTATCAACAAGGTCTTGGTACATGTATCTTCCGATAAACTTTTTTTGGAAAAAGGACAAGACATTCTTTGACATATCCCTGGTTTTACAACTTTCAACTCAGACACTGGTGATGTTTTATAAAGTGAGTAGCAGCTGCAAGATCTTGTATACCAAATGAGTTCGGAAATGGCTTTGGAGTTGGGCAAGCTTCTAATCATTGCTGTATTTCTTTCAAATAAAATACCAAAGATTAAACAGTGTTAAAATTTTCGTCAATGGGACCCCAATGTAACGTCTTTAGGACGTGATGTCATATATATCGAATGACATCATTATTGGGCATGTGATATCACAGATGTCCAGCTGTCGTATTTTCTTGCACACAAAATGCAACCATATAAAATTAGCGGCAGGCTGCAGTAAGTGGGTTAAAGTATATATGTAAATGCTTTTTTGTTCCGACATTGGAAAGTTCCGGGCGGAAAGAACTAACTAGCCGAAAAGTTCCGGAGGAACTTATTAACTAGTTACTTTGTTCTTCCTCTGGTTTAAAAGTTCCACCGGAACAAAGTGACTAGCTGAAAAGTTCCAACGGAACATATCAACTAGTTAGAAAGTTCCTTTTTGCCAAATTAGTCAAAACCGGAACTAACAAACTAGCCCAAAAGTTCCAACGGAACTTATCAACCAGGCAGGAAGTTCCATTTGGAGAATTGATGCAAAGAACCACATGAGGAGGGGGTATTCTTCCCTCTCTTGAGGGTACCATGAATACTAAATTTGCATGATAATGCAACTTATTCCGTTTTATGTGAGCCATGAAATACAACTTAAATTTTGGATATTTGTCCCCAAAGAAACCCCTTTCAGTGCGTTGGGTATTCTTGTAAATTAATGATTTGCTCTTATATATACTGATACTCATTCTTTCCCCTCTTTCTACTAAAAGGACGAAATATGGTATATTTTTTGAACGATGTAACTAGTTGTTCTGTTCCGCCAGAACTATTCAACTAGCTACATTGTTCTGGGACTTTTCAACTAGCTACTTTTTTCCGGAACTTTGCGACTGCACTCGGAATAAAACAACTAGTTGGAAAGTTCCATCGGAACGAAATAACTAGTTGAAAAGTTCCGCCGGAACAAAGTAACTGGCGGAACATAGTGGCTGTTACATAATTACATGTATAGTATGATATTTATGTGATGTCACAGAATTCCAGAATATTCTGCTGTTGCAGGAAGAATTTTGCATTCAAAAGTGCATACAAAATGCATAAATTGCAAATGAACAAAGAGAAAATTTATGTCAGTAAGAGGAAACTCCTGATGCAAGAACAATCTGTACAATCTATGCTATTTATCAGTTTTATTTTGAGCCAAGTATTTTTGTGAAAAAAAAAGTAAATTCCTTCTTTATTCTTAAACATGTGCATGCATGCATTTTACACAACCAACTAAAGGTACATTCAAACTATTTGATTTTAGTCTTAGTTTTCCAAAGAAGAAAGTTTAGATAGTGGTATTTTGACAAAAAGTACACTTGGCAAAAAAAAATTGATTCAGTCAGTACAAATTGTCACACATACCACATCTCCTTATTTTTATACGGTCAATGTCATTTTTAGAATATTGTTTTATTTGTAGGAAAATCTGAGTGTCCCTATTATGCAAGGGCAGAATTATTAGGAGATAAACTTGCTAGGAATCTTCCAAATTTCCAACTCCACAAGATTGTTCAACAGCCAGATGACTGGGAGGTAAATATTTAGAATTTAAGTATACAATGTAGGTACATGAACAGTACAACAGAGATATAATTGTTTTCCACGATATCTTGATTTATTGCATCAACACATTATCCCTGAAACATTCACATGATGTTTACTCATGTAACTATTGCTAATGAAAGGTTTTTTTTAAGATAAATATAAAGACCAGCATATATTTCATTATTGTAATCTACATGTATCTGGTACAAATTACTAGAATAAAAAGGTAATGTGAGGGTTACTGTATAATTCTAAAAGCTTCAAGCTTTAATATTTTCCTGGTAAGGTTGATTGCTTCAGCAATAATGTCCTGAGTGGCAATTATTTCATGAATATTTAGGATGATTGTTTTATAAGAATCTTGATATGACTGACAAATTTCAACAAATTTCCTTAAATGTTAATGATATGCCAAAAAACAACAATTAATTTATGTAAAAAAATAGTAAGTCATGCCAAAAATATTTAGTTTAACGTGTGTTGATAACACCATAGCAGATCAGTTGCAAACAAATGATATCATTCATTACTGAGCTTTGAGAGAAATCAAATGACACTTCAGGTGCATGACAAATGCCACAAAACTATGTAAATTAAAGGCTCATTGGCTCCATAAATGATGGCATTGAGACAAAATTGAAGGAATCTTCATGTCAGATATTCACTATAACTACATGTATAAGCATATTGGCCCTGAGTGAGTAAGACTCCTTTTTGGCCCCAAAATATAGAATTTTAAAATTTGTTAAAAATGTTAACTTTCAGCTATTTATTGGAAAAAAGAATACTTCTGTTACATAAGTAAGGGCTGTTTTTGACAATACAATGCACATGCATCAGTTACAGCATCAGCTGAGCCTGACTTATAAGCATCATTAATTCATGCAAAATTACTGAAGTCTTCATAATTTTAGTATTTGTGTTAATTTTTAGACGTTTTTTGTCTAAAATGGAAGTGGCCGCACTTGTGTTTAGTCTTAATATTTATATATATGTTGTATTTGATGATAATACATTTATATAACATATATATTGAGACTGAACACAAATGTGGCCACTTCCATTTTAAACAAAAACCATCTGAAAAGTGACGTTTTTTGGCATATTTGATAGATTTTTCATATTTAAGCTTGAATTTGAGCATCTTTAATGACCAAATCAGTTCAAATCTTTTACATAAACTAATTGAATTGACTGAAGTAGACACTTAAGTGTTTAAATGATGTCAAAAATCTTTAATCAGATGAACTTCGAATTTTAGGCCAAAATTAGCCCTTACCGGACCTTCTCCTTTGAAAGAGAAAGAAAAAACGTGGTACAATGTCATATTTGGATGTTTTGGAGATTATTCAATATTATTTATCTACACATTCCACCAATCCAAGTAACGAACTTTGATCAAATCCCCATATACATGTATAAACAGCTTTAGTAATTCTTGCAAATGATTTTGTATTAAATGTGAAAATTTTTTTATATAAATTGGGAAGAACTCCATAATCACAACATTGTCAACTTACACATTCAATATTCACTCCAGACGAATTTAGACATCTGAATTGATTGAAATAGCACTACATACATGTATACACATATGTAAGGTCATTATTATTAATGCCTTTGATTTTCTGTATTATTTTTAAATATTGTTTGTAGAAATGGTTAAAAAATACATGTAATGAAAGAGGATGGCAACATATGAAGTCACCAATAGTATGGAGGGAATTGGTTGATCGAGGTGGCAAAGGTGTTTTGATTGGTGGAGCCAATGAATTTCAGGAATATGCATTTGGTTACTATGGAATCCAATCAGATCAAGTTAGTAATGATATGAATTTGATTTCGAAAGAAAATAAACAATATAAAATTGATATTGTCAAAGAGGAAGCAGAGTTTAAAGCCAGAAGCAATCCCATACATGTGTGTATCACATGTGCAACAAGTCCAGTATGTTATGCAATTATAAATTCAATTGGTCAGGGAGATGTATTTGGCAAACATACAGAAATAGCTCTTCATTTACTGGATACAAATGATAAACTGGAAGAATTAGAAGGTTTAAAAATGGAAGCAGAGGATCTTGCACATGAATTACTCAGAGAAGTTTCTATTACTTCAGACACTAAGGATGCTTTTAAAAATTGCAGTGCAATTGTATTGTTAGATGACCTCACACAGAATCCTGAAGAGGACAAGTCGGCGTGGATCAAAAGGAATTCTTCTCATTTTAGTGCTTATGCCAAAGTTATCAATGATGTCGCTTTAAAGAATGTTAAAGTTATTCTCACAGGGAATGGACCCGTAAATATGAACACTTACATGATGATTCAAAATGCTCCAAATATTCCAAGGCAAAATTTTGTTGGCCTGTCTAGAAGAATTGAAAACAATGCAAAGGCCGTTGTTGCAGAAAGGTTAAAGGTCAACACGAGTGGTGTTGTTGACTTGATAATTTGGGGGAATGTGAATGGGGAACATTTTGTAGATCTAGCAAGAAGTCGTGTCCATGGATATGATGGCGCTATCTGGGGACCACCCAGCTTTTCTCTCCCTGCTCCAGAAATGGTATGGGACAAACCTTGGATGGAAAAAGATTACATTGAGCTGGTTAAAACAAGACATGAAAAAATGACAGAAAATCTTAAACATGCACCATCTATGTCAGCAGGAGGTGCAATCACTAGTATGCTGGAACACTGGTGGAATGGATCTCCTTCTGGACAGATGTTCTCTCTTGCTGTTTGTTCTGAAGGTTTGTTATTCAAACTCCTGCATATGATCAATATAAAAATAAGGAAATGTAGTATGACTGTCAATGAAACAAATATTCATCAGTGGCCATAATAATGAACTCATACATGTACATTTACACAGTTTGCAACATGTATGATCCTTCAAGATTTTTACTGAAATTATAAAATTTTGATGCAGAAATGCAATTTATTTGATGAAACAAGGAATTTATATAATTTTATCTTGTTGTTTTAACTTTTTAACAAATACAAAGATGTTGTTTGATTCAAAAAAATTTTAAACTTTGGTATATAACGGGGAAGTAACTCATAAAATATAAATGAATGAACTGTAAATTTATCTAGTTTACAAAGAAGCAAGAGCAAGATAGTGATTTAAGTTTTCCTTCTTATTTTCTTAATGCATTTACCATAGTAACCTACGTGTATACTTTTTATTACATTTTTTAAAAAAGAATGGCATTTATAAACTATATAATAGTACGCAAGGTTGAAAAAACTTCTATCTTTTTTTTTTATAATAAATACTGCCTTCAAGACAAATGCTGCTAATTTGATTACTATTAAAAGTTTGCTTTGGATTAATAAACCTTCACACATACTGCTTTTTCATCTTCCCTTTTGTGTCTCTTAAAAATTTTTACACAAACAATTTTTATACTGGACTCCAAATATAACATTTTTTGTTTAAAGTTTCATTCGAATAAACATAAAATTATTATACTTATGAAAAATATGTGAAGAATATTAATTAGATTAATAATTTGGTCCATAAGATTAAAATGCAATTAATGTAGGAATATTTTTTAAAGAAGTCTAGGGTAGACATATACAAAAAAATGTACTATACATTGTGTGATATTTGTTGCATAATTAACTTTTTCATGTCTGCATTTAGGTTGGTATAATATTCCTGATGGCATTGTATTCTCCTTCCCTGTGACAATGGTTTCTAAAGGATATTGGAATGTTGTGCAAGATATTGAGCTTAGTGAAGAAATGAAGATAGCAATAAGTGCTACGTTGCAGGTATTGGAACCATTGTAAAATAGTTCTTTGATCTTTTTATTTTGGTTTGTTACCGCAGTCTTTCAAAAATGATACATATTTACCAATCCAGAACTTATTTTTCACTGATTTATAACTAAAAAGAAAAAGAAAAGATTTTTATACATCTAAAACACTGTGTTTAATGATTCAAATACATGCATTTTGAGACAGTGACCAAACAACACAAATAAAACACACCTAGAGGTCAACATGAAGTCATAAACATTACAGAAGTGTCTATAAATATCTATCATCTGTCTAGACTCTATACAAGTTGTGAACAATAATGTATGTTATTACAAAAATTGGTAAAAAACAGACTAACTTTAGTATAATTCAATTCCTATTACCCTTGGTACATGATGGTGACTGTTTTTCACTTGATTATTCTTGGCATATTAATTACTTCTCATTAAGGTCTTTAAAAATAAAAACATATGTATTTAAAAAACCTTGGTAAATAAGAAGAACATTCATGTACAATGTATGTGCACTGGCCCTCTAATATGTTTGAATTGACATGATTATCTCCCCTGTTTTATAGGATATTCAGTCTGAGAAGGATGTCTTATTTCCTCCACCCACTCCACCTCCCACAGAATCTAAAGTGACAATTATAGATCCTAAAGATACAGAACAACAACAGGAAAAGACAGAAAACAGTGAAGGAGAAAAACAGGATGATTCTGAAGGTATTATTTATAGAATATTACATGGCATTTAATGTTTCGGCTTAAAGGACCCACCTGAGTTTCATATAACATGTACACAAGTTAAGATTGAGAATTTGACAATTGGTACACTAGATAATGATAAGATAACAAGAAAAATTAGATTTAATGAATTTAACATTACATGTTACCCGGCCCTGAACTGGGGAGGGGGAATTTTGTTACCATAACATGTTACCCCTGAATTAATAGATTTTCGTTAAAAGCTTCAAGATTTTGTAAATTTTAAAAAATGATGTCAACCCTATACCAGCAAAGTAGCAAAACATTACAGTGTTAGTGTTGTTCTATTCCTCCAATAATTCATGCATCATGCTGACTTATTTCCTCAAATTCTGTTAAGTAAAACCTTGTTAATGTCACAGAAGCAAGTTATATTCACGACTCAAGCAATGAATTCCAAATAAATGTAAAATAAATTTAATGGAAATATGGCTTTGCAGCAAATTTTTTTTTTTTTAAAGGTCAATTTTATATTCAATCCATTACACTGTACCTCAAGATTATTATTATTTTTTTAAGTATCAATTCATGACCACTTCTCAAACATACAACAGTGTCCCACTTATAAAAAACCAGTCATAATTCATCACCTTATGAAATGTCTCTTCTACTTTTTGTCGAGCCTTCAACTTTAGTAGAAAAAGCGAGACATAGTGATCCTACATTCCGTCGTCGGCGTCCACAAATATTCACTCTGTGGTTAAAGTTTTTGAAATTTTAATAACTTTCTTAAACTATCCTGGATTACTACCAAACTTGGACAGAAGCTTGTTTATGATCATAAGATAGTATCCAGCAGTAAATTTTGTAAAAATAAAATTCCATTTTTTCCGTATTTTACTTATAAATAGACTTAGTTTTTCTGCTGGGAAATATTACATTCACTCTGTGGTTAAAGTTTTTAAAATTTTAATAACTTTCTTAAACTATCCTGGGTTTGTACCAAACTTGGAAAGAAGCTTGTTTATGATCATAAGATAGTATCTAGAAGGAAATTTGGAAAAAAATAAATCCATTTTTTCCTTATTTTACTTTTTAAATGGACTTAGATTTTCTGCCAGGAAACAACACATTCACTCTGTGGTTAAAGTTTTTAAAATTTTAATAGCTTTCTTATACTATTTTGGATTTGTACCAAACTTGGACAGAAGCTTGTTTATGATCAAAAGCTAGTACCTAGAAGGAAATTTTGTAAAAAAATAAATCCATTTTTCCGTAGCTTACTTTTAAATGGACTTAGATTTTCTGCCAGGAAACAACATATTCACTCTGTGGTTAAAGTTTTTTAAATTTTAATAACTTTCTTTTACTATTTTGGATTTGTACCAAACTTGGACAGAAGCTTGTTTATGATCAAATGCTAGTATCTAGAAGGAAATTTTGTTTTCTTCCAGTTAACATTACATTCAGTCTGCAGTTAAAGTTTTTAAACATTTATTAGATTCATAAATTATCCTGGATTTTTACCAAACTTGGACAGAAGCTTCTTTCAATCAAAAGATAGTATCAAGAGGAATATTTTTATTGATTTACTTCCTCATTTTTGTTGAGCCTGCGATTAACAGAAAAAGTAGGCGAGACACTGCGTTCCACGGAACCCTTACAAACTTTTTCATATAGTGACCACCTTCAACAAATTGAAGATTATGTCACAATAGGATAACTTACAACAAGACATAGATTAATTTTTTACAAAATAAGAATAGAGGAAAATGCATATTACAAATATACAATAAGTTTAATGTGAATAGATGAGTGTAATATTGATGTTTTGAGATTAAAGATTTGAAAGAGCCTACTGATGTGCAATTTATGGTGTTATTGGGTAGTTTGTTTCAGTCTCTTTGTTATTGTTCTAATCTTGGGGGAAAAAATCTTTTCTGTATTACCGTATAGCGGGTTATTTTCGCGGGTGTAAAATTTCGCGATTTTCATTGAATAAGGTATACGAAATATTTTGGCGGTTATTATTTTGGCGGATTCAAAACTTTTATCAATACCTTTGCATGTGCCGTTTTAAATTGGCGGAATTTATTTTGGCGATTTTGTTCTATCCGCGAAAATAAGCGAAAATTTGCACACCCTGCGAAAATAAGCCGCTATACGGTATGTTTTGCAGGATGGAATTAGGATACTGTTCAAATTTAAATGTCTTAATTTTTGTTTGTCTTTTTTGTGGAAATAGTTTGTTGTTCTTAGCTATTGCAACTTGTTCATGTTCTAATTTGTATAGCATTACCACTCATGAATCTTTTCTTCTGTCAGAGAGGCTGAGCCATTCAAGGTGATTTAACATGTCACCAAAGCTTGAGGTGTTTCTGTTTTTTGTTGGTTACTGAATGGGCAAACATCCTTTAAATTTTTTCAATGCTATCTAATACATACTCTAGTGATGGTCTTACTAGGGACTTGTACATGTACATGTTGTATGCCTGCTCTTTAATGGATGATGGGCTAATATTCAGGTTCCTCCATAGAAATCCTAGAGAGCTATTAGCTTTGTTCCATATGTTATTTATATGTACAACCCATTTATTCATGTTATGGATATAGCTGACTGTTACCCCCAGATATTTTGCTGTTGTAACTGGTTTTAAAAAGTGATTGTGTAATGTGTAGTTAAATGTGAATGTTTTTATTTTTATTTCTGGTGACCTAAATAACTCATTTACATCTGTGTCAATGTAATGCCATTTTACACATAACTATGTTCCCATGATGCAATTTGTCAAGATCATTTGGTAATGTACCAGTAGATGTATCAGAAATTCAGAATTTGATTTAATTGCCGAATAAACTATGTTGTCATCTGCAAATAAACACATGTAGTACATTGTAGTAGATGTAAGACTGGTTGGAATATCGTTTTTGTAGTTTATGAAAAGACTTGGTCCAAGAACTGACCACAGTGGAACCCCTGACTCAACTGTTACATACTCAGATTTTCCCCCCTCCAAAACAACTGCTTGCTTGCGATTAATTAAGAAATATTGTATCCAGAAATTAAATCCCCCTTGTATCCAGTTATAGTTAAGTTTGAAATGTGAATAGGAAACTTTATCAGACTCTTTGGAAAAATCCATGACCAAAATATTTGTATCAGTTTATTGTTGTTGTTTTTTTTCCCATTTTCCATGTTAAGTGACACATCATCTATAAATTGTAAATAATTTTGTTTCACAGGACCAACCTCTGCTAAATCCATGCTGTAGGTTATAGAAGGTGTTGTAGTTATCGTAATTGCATGTTTCATGATGTGAATAACCACAACTGACCAAGTGTTCTTTATACTATGATTTAATCATATTTTGACAAGTTAATATTCAATATGTGTTGCCTAGAAAATAAATGCTAATGATGTTTACCTAAAAAATAATTCAGTGTGACAAAAAAAGATTATAAATATGTGGTGGAAAACCTATTTATAGGATGGCTTTGCATTAGAGAACTTTGTTAACAAGTGTTGAAACACATAAACTTGTTTTTATTTGTTACCTATTATTAAAAATCTAAAGATATAATGTTTAAAATATGTCTTTTTTAATAATAAACTTTTGTAAAGAGAGAAAACAATGTTTTCTTCTGTTTGATATTATTTTATTTGGAAAAATACATGAAACTAACTAGAGTAAATTGATTGGAGTTATAAATTTGCAATTACAAAATTTTGGAAATTATTTGGAATTAAGGAATATATCTTCTTCATGCAAAGCTCTAATTTCTTGTCGTGCTTTGGCTATGTATATTTATCCTATTTGGTATATAAGCTCTTCATTTTTTTAATAAGTTTTAGATTTTCAAATATTTTGGCTTTGAGCATCACTGATGAGACATTTATTGTTGAAATGTGCATCTGGTGCAGTAAAATTGGTACCATTAATATTTATGTTATATCTATATTTCTAGGAGAGAAAACTGACCCAAAGCTAGACACTATTGAAGAAGAAAAGACAGGATCAACAACAGAATCAACTTAAATTTGTCATGATAAATATTCATACAAAAGATTATATTGGTTGTCTCAGTGATTTTATTTATCACAATCAAACAACGTTATGGTATCAAGAAATGTATTTTCTTAATCGGAGACATGAAAACATTTACACTGTGATATATATTTATTTCTCATTTCACTAAAATAATGATGTTTTATCTATTGAAATGTACAAACAATAAAATATAAACCATGAAGACATTTATGATTTTGTTGAATATGTTATGACCGTTTTGACTGACTTATTTGAGAACCTAGCTGGTTGGCAAGAAAACAACAATTTATACTACACACACCTGATAGAACATTAAATGAAATGTAGACATTGTTAGCCACAATGGTTATAAAGAAGCTAGTCTTTTTTTTTTTTCTTCTCAAAAATATTGCTGACTTCTGAAAAAGGCTGCATATATCTCTTTATGTAAAACCCAGGGGTCACTACACTTCAGAATTATTTATCAAACTCAATCAAAGCTAAACTATTCAAAGCTACAGAGACTGAAATGTCTGGTGAAGTCAGGTGTGTTATATAACTAAGCTCTAAAGAACCTGTGTCCCTAACCTAGGTCTGTGTGCATCTTCAACAATGGACACACTTGAACATTATGGACCAAATAGAATTCATAACAAAATTCTCTTTTTTTGTGATCTTGTATATTGCTGATTAATTTTTACCTGTGTCGTCGAAGGCAAAAGCATTTTTAGTAACCAATCAACTCCGTCAGAAAGAAATATTTTTTCATAGTTTTCAACGCTTCTGTGCAAGGGAATGATTTAATGTTTGGTCTGCAGCTTGATAATGTTTGTAGCGAGTAAGTAATTTGTACATGTTTGTGTTTGGTCTACAGCTTGATAATGTTTGTAGCGAGTAAGTAATTTGTACATGTTTGTGTTTGGTCTACAGCTTGATAATGTTTGTAGCGAGTAAGTAATTTGTACATGTTTGTGTTTGGTCTACAGCTTGATAATGTTTGTAGCCAGTAAGTAATTTGTACATGTTTGTGTTTGGTCTACAGCTTGATAATAGTTGTAGCGAATAAGTAATTTGTACATGTTTGTGTTTGGTCTACAGCTTGATAATGTTTGTAGCGAGTAAGTAATTTGTACATGTTTGTGTTTGGTCTACGCCTTGATAATAGTTGTAGCGATAAGCAATTTTTACATCTGTGATGTATCTGCTTCCTGTTTGGCGATAGTTTGAAATTTTACCACACACATTGTACAAAGAAAATTTTAGTTGAAGTTTTCTCGGCTCCTTAATTGAAGGGAATGATTTAATATTTGGTCTGCATCTTGATAATGTTGTAACGATTTAGAAATTTTTACATCTGTGATGTATCCACTTCCTGTTTGCCAATAGTTTGAAATTTTACAACACTCTTTGAACAAGGAAAATGTTTGTGAAAGCTTTTTTGGCTACAGTGAAAGGGAGTAATCAGCTATGCTCCAGTATACATGTTACCTCAATTAATTGCATGCAGTGACACAGTTCCAGACCGGATATTGGTCTTGTTCTTTTTACAGTTTCTCTCTATCTTCTTTAGTTTTTGCCCAAACCCAAAGACTGGTAAAAAATATTTGCCATGTAAGGGCAATCACTCCTATAAAGATCGCTGTTTAAAGTGTCAATCTATCTTTATTGTTTTCAAGATTATAGGCAAAAATTGGTAAAAATCCTCATTAAAGAGCAAAAACTCCAACAGGGAGTCAACTGACAATTTTGACAATTAGCCTTGTTTGTAGATCTAATCTTGGTGATCACTTTTGCAAATGTCAAAGCCATGAAAAAACAAACTTGACCTGTATATTTTATGGCCCATGACATATCATATTCTGCTTTAAAATGAAAAAAAAAATGAAATGTGGTATGACTGCCAATGATTACAACTGGAAAAATCATGAAATAAAAAAACAGCGGTAACTGAACAATGAATATGAGGTCAAGGACAAGGACATATAAGTCAGGAGACTGTAACTCAGTTGTTTTTGGTTGCTGTCTGCCTTATTTGTTTTTCGTTTGTTGTTTTTATCATACATCAACTTTTCTCTTGAATTGTTTTGCATATTTTTCCTGCCTTTTATAGTTTAAACTTCGTATTATGGGTTTTGCTCATTGTTGTAGGCTGTACAGTGACCAATAGTTGTTTACATGAATGTTCTTTTGGTATCTAGAGGATTATTGTCTAATTGGCAAACATATATAATATCTCCATATCTTTATATATGCCAAACTTCAGAACATAAGGCATATGTATACAAGATAAGAAATATCCAGTTCTTTCTGAAATATTCATCTTTATTCAAGTAGTTTACACCATCATTGCTGGTATAGCATCCCTGTGTCTTAAATTCTGCATCTACTCACTCTCCAGCGAGACAAAAACCATGTCAACCATACAATGTCTACATTGTTATATATTTAATGATAATTGGGAAAATGATGCACATTTCAAGGTTGCATTCCTACTTCCCTATTTTTTTTTCATATTCAAATGGCATATGATGAGAGATGACAATACTGTTGTATTATACAATACAAGGAAGTGAAATCTCAAACAAGTGCACAGACTGAATTATCTCACCTGCTTTATGGCGTAGGGTATGGTTTGTACACCTTACAAACATTCCATATCCATAATATAGTTGCTATCTGAGATATTACCAAATCACTTAAACTAAACATCGACCAATAAACCATGAAAATAAGGTCAAGGGGATAAACCCCTCAACAGATTGACATGTACACCTTTCAATCATTCCATATCCCAAACATAGTTGACCTATTGCAAATGCACGTAGTATCTTAGAAACAAATCTAGACCCAATTATGAAAATTTAACATGGAACAATGAACTATGAAAACGAGGTTAAAAGGTCGGATGAACTCAGACAGACAGACAGACATGTATATCTTAAAATCATTTCAATGAACTAGATGTCGTGACATGCTAAACATCTACCTCCATTTGTAGCTCAAAGTATCAGATACCAGAAAGTAGATGTCTTACAGATCCAAAAATGCTCACATGCTACAATTCATCACTGATAAGCTTCTGACCATGTATGAAGTAATTCTGTTCAGTAGTAATTTGAGAAAAGTGTGACGAAAACAGTTAAGATCACTCAACATATTGAAAAATTCAAAGTATCAGCAACTGGAAACATGTAATCGACAGATCTGAAAAGTGCTAACATGTTTCAACTAAATAATTCATCACTGCCAAGCTACTGTCTCACCAAGTATGTAGTTTGTCTGTTTAATAGTACTTGAGAAAAAATTATGAAAAAGGAGGTCAGGTAAGGGCTTATTTTGGCCTAAAACTTGAAGTACATCGGATGAAAGATTTTTGACTAGTTTTAAACACTTAAGTGTCTTCTTCAGTCGATTCAATTAGTTTATGTTAAAGATTTGAACTGATTTGGTCATTAAAGAGGTCTACATTCAAGCTTAAATGTGAAAAATCTGTCAAATATGCCACAAAACGTCATTTTTCTGATGGTTTTTGTTTAAAATGGAAGTGAACATTCATGGTTCAGTCTCAACCTTTATATGTGTTATGTATCATCATTAAATACAAGTCATATATTTAAATATTAAGACTGAACACAAGTATGGCCACTTCCATTTTAGACAAAAAACATCCAAAAATGAGCACAAATGCTAAAATTGTGAAGATTTCAGTAATTTTGCATGAATTAATGATGCTGGTACTTGATGCATGTGCATTGTATTTTCAAAAACAACCCGTATTTATCTAACTGAAATGCTATATTTTGGGACCAAAAATGGGTCTTACTGGGCCTACTCCTTTAAGTTCATTCCTCATATTGAAAAATTCAAAATATCAGCAAACAGAAAGTAGGTGTCTGACAGATCCAAAAAGTGCTAACACTTTACAACTCATCACTGTCAAGCTGATTACCAAGTAAGAAGAATTTCTTTTCAGCATTTTTAGAGAAAAGTATGACAAAAAAGTTTAAGTTGATTTCACATATCAAACAATTCTAAGTATTGGCAACAGGAAGTAGGTGTCTGACAGATTATACATGTTACAACTCATCAATGAAAAGCTGACAACCAAATATAAAGTCATTCTGTTCAGAAGTACCTGACAGACAGAAGTATTTGTTGCATGAACAGACGGGCAGAGACAAGGTACATCTAATATAGCCTCCACTTTTAAGTGGGAGTATAATATAGCTATTGCTTATAGTATTTAAGAAACATACCTAAACATGAAAACTTAATATTGATCACTGAACCATGAAATTAGGTGAAGGTCAAAAGAACCATTTATGATCATTAAGAATAAATTAATCTTCAATGATTTCACGGTATACACCAAATATAGTTGTCCTATAACCCATGATGACTGAAAAAAACAACATTTTTTAAGCAGTTGTTGAACCATTAAAATGAGGTCAAATATAATGGACATATGCCAGACATAAACTTAAGAACATAAGGCACTGTATACACATAAAGTGTCCATGTGCTTCTATCTTCTGAAATATAAAGCTGTATACAAATAGTAACATTGCCCACCTCTCCCCAGCTGGTTAAGCATCCCTATGTTTTGCAATCTGTTCCCATTGTAGCTTCAATGACATTTGTTGCAGGCTTAACAAAAAACCTGCACAGTACAGCTATTATTAGGATGACCACTAAGTTGAACAAGGAAATAAAAGCACATAATTTGGAAAGCAGAGTCAAAATGTGCTTGCCACTACATGAAGATAGCTTATCAGAGCCGCATTCTTAATGCATGCACATGAAAACTTATATCCATGTCATTTAAACTCTGTTGGATGTCTTATTGGCACTCATCCACATCTCCTTTTAAGTGATAATAATACTTGTAGCTGTAACAAAGTTATTATAAGGCACAGCTCAATCATCTTTTATAGGGGATGCATCGGTTTATTTCTCTAGATAAACACTTTTTATACATATTTACAAACAACTATTTTCATGTAACATGCAGGAACAAGAAAATAATTTTGAAACTCAATGTTTTCCCACTAATTTCCAATGGAAACAATCACTTTATTTCACTTCCCTTTTGAAACAAATTATTTTTTTCTCAAGAAATTTAGAATCAAACAATTTATTTAACAAAAATCCCATGTCCCCCCTAAAAATGATGAATGATTGGTGCCTAAACAAATCAAAGCATCGTTGATGTTGTGATCCAGCCATATTCATAGCTAGTCTGATATTCTTTCTGACCATACTTTTTTCTAAATTTTTTCTCTCTTCATTTCCAATCTTACTGTAAAATTTCTATGTTATTGTCCAAAGGTAGGGAATTTCGCAATATTGATGCAAATATAAATATATATACTGATCTTTCAATTTTAGACTCTGTCAGATTTTATTTTTGACAAGAATGGAAAGGAAAATCGTCAAACAAGTAATATATTTTTTTTTTATGCTATTAATAATGACAGGTTTAATAATTTCCAGAAAGAGGCCTTATAAATGCACTTTCTCAACAACAAAAATTAAAAAAAATAATAACTATTTTTTATCTAAATTGGTGTTCATTCTTTATTAAGAAAAAATACATTTCCTGTATTCAAATCTGAATGTACAAGTACCTAATGCTGAGATATTTCCAGAATAGCAATATAATGGGATATAAATGTAAAACAAACAAATCAATTTTATTGCAGAAAATGCTCAGGTAAGAGTTATGCCATTTTGTTTAATATTTCAACCAAATTTCTGATAATTGTAACTAATTAATTAGAACTTGATTGTTGACTTATGTCAGATGATAAAGGCACTGATTTTACAAGTAAAATAAAATTTGCTTGCATTTTTTATACATATTTTTTTTCATTTTAAGTATTTTCTTTGAAAAAAAACACATCAGATTAATCATTCAGCTAGCTAGCAAAATTAACAGAATATTTTAATGTAGTGTAGATCAAAATAAATAATACATTTGTAGGTTTACTATTGAGGTCAAGAATGTGTGCATTCAGTTAGGTGTGTAATAAATTGTGTTTATTTAATTATGTAACAGGTCATGAGATATTAACTGTTTTGAATTAAGCCTGGGGTTGTTACTAATTAATACTTATTTGAAAATCATGACAGTTAATAATCATTCTGACTCTTACTTGCCTATGGAAAGAATTGGAGTAATACCATTTCAAAAAAGTGTGGGAATCAACTTAGATATATTAATACACATGTTGACATGTTGACCTACATTTCATTGAACAATAATTTACACAAGCACAAGATAATAATTTAATACTTTCAAAATTCTTATCAACTGATTCAATTGATGTACAAATACTTTTTCAAATTAATTCATAAATAGTAAATCATCATAAATTTTGATTTAGAAAGGAACTATATTCAAGTGTATATCTAAAATAAAGTCACTATTCGACCAATCTTTTCTTAATTTAAGGGCAAATAACATGTCAAAAGTTTGCAGTTGATGATTAAAATGGTGTAGAAAGTTTCTGTAAGTCATAAAAACATATAATTAGTTTCATGATATGTCTTCAACTTAGTATTCTGCACCATCTCCAAAACCAGAGTGATCGCATAGATCCAGCATGGCTGAATCAAAAATTTGTAATGTACCATAGCCATCATCAAATAAAAACAAATTATAAGTTTCAGATAAATTTAATGCAGTAAAAACAATCATCATTTAATTAACCATGTTTGTATGATAGTAACATTAAGTCATAAAATTTACAATTCTTAATGCAATGAAAACAATAACCAATGCATTATTTTGCATTCAAATATAAATCAATCCGAAAACTAGAAGCACCAAGAAGCATGTGTCTGGTCTCAAAGTGATGAACACAATTATGAATAAAAACTAAAATATCATTTTTAAAAAAAAACATAAATATGTCAAAACTTGTCTGCAAAAATCAACTTTCATAGTTTGAAAATGTGTGTTTTGTTATTTGAAGAAACCATATACTAGTATTATGTTTACTACACAACAAAAAAAAAATAATTCTTTATACCCCAAACATTAAAATCTAAGCTTTGAAATTTGTCATTGTACATACCAGGTATGTAAGTTAAGAATATGGACTTAGTCATTATTACTACCTATACCTGAAAAAAGGTACCTATTGATTCATTTAGCATGTATGCCCAATGGTTTCAGATTTTTGGATTTATTATTTTAAAGTGCAATTAATCATGGAATATATGTTCAGAAAGACTTAAGCTGTTTTTACATACTGTAAATTCAGAAATTATTGCAATGTTTTTATTATTGCGAAGAATGCGACAGGGTTATCATCGCAATAATTAAAACTCGCATTTTGACATTTTTTATATGAATCGAACAGGATTTTTCTGAATATCTCAAAAATTAAAATTGCATTTTAGTATAAAATGACAAAATCGCAATAATAAATGCACGCAATAATTTCTGAATTTACAGTATATTGTTTTTTGTACAAAAGAACATAGAAATTTATTTGTGATTTTTCACAAGAATATTTGCGTTCAAAGGTGCTTGTTTTGAAATCATCTCTAATTCTTATTCTATAGCTTACTATGCAGTATGCATTTTGCTAGCTGTTGAAGGTCCTACGGTCACCTGAACTTTGATCACATCTTTGTACGGTTGTGTTTACAGTTGGTTTCATGCTACTTGTGTAACCTTATCAATTGAATAAATCAAAGTGCATATGAGCACTGAAGGGTTGAAGCATTCATTTTGCAGTGGGAACTAAAAATTAAACATTGTGTTGTATTAAGCATTGGAAGGTTTAACTACAAATTATGAATAAAGGTAACTGACTCCAATTTTAAATATTACTTATAAAACAATGACATCATTAACATATACCAGATTCATACGCTATGCACAATTTATGTTCTTTTCTTGACAATAAAATAAAATTGAGAATGGAAATGGGGAATGTGTCAAAGAGACAACAACCCGACCATAGATCAGACAACATTATGATTATACACATTATTTTGTAACTTAAATATCTGAGTATATTTTTCATTGATAAATTTCTTAAAATGTTTATGGATAAGACATACAGAATGTTGTGATGAATGCACTATTATTTTTATTTTTATCTCAAAGGTAGTGATAAAGTTTGGAAAATTATTAGCTATTAAGCCAGCCCCATGGCATAAGGGCTTTGTTTGTATGAATGCAATGTTTTCCCCAAAAATGTGTCTCCCTTTTCACTACCTTTCTTAAATTGCTAATAACTAGCACCTAATTTTGACAACTTTCATCTAATGGATATTTCATTACAAAATCTAAATATTACAACAGGGATCAAAATTGACCCTACTGTATATTGATGAGTAGTTTAATCTTTACCTGCTGCATAATTTTACTGTTCAATGAATTAGCCACTGTGTGAGTGTTTATAACAATATCCAGTGTATAGAGATACCTTGAGATAAATAAGCAGTGTATGACAAACACAATTAGAGGTACTTTGATAGATAGCCAATAACTTGTCTTGAACCAATAGTATTTAAACATGAAATACAATACATAATATCTTTACATAAAACTTAAAATATAGATGCATGACATTTAATTCTTCTCTCAATTGTATGCAAATTGTTGTTGCTGTTTTTTAATCCTCCAACGAATATTTCTCACACTGTGGGATACCGCCTTTGAAAAACTTGTCTGAAAGTAGATGATAATTTCTTGTAATGTCACCTATCACCATTCTTCTTATCATTCACCTGTCCTAAAGTCTTCCATAAATTGGATTATATATACAAAACGTAATAAGAATTGTAACAATTTTTACAAATTAAAATTCTGTTCCATGTTCAGTTATGCGACGAAATTTCTTCCGTAAATTACGAACTTTTTGCGACACATGGTAAGAATATTCTGTCTGAAAGTACAATATTAGTACAGGTTCAGAAAATTATCTGCATAAAAGTGAATAACACAATGAAATAAAAACAAATTTAATGTACATGTTTTTTTTGATAGTTCACATTTTGAATATCTGTGCTTGGTGGGCCTTGGCTTTTTTCCTGGCACTCCATCTTAAATTACGTATACTGGCAGATATAGAATGTGCAAGTCCACTCTGAAACAAACAGTAGACCCTTCTTCACTGTATTATATATACAAAACATAGTTGATACAGATGCCAACCATTTTATAAACAATGATCACATGAGTTCCCAAAAATGCATTGTTTTTCTCTTTTATAAAACTTTGGATTTATTATTATTCATGGGATACCAATTTTTGGGTGTTTGTTGGATACAGGTGAACCATAAATTTAAATGTTCCAACAAAGTACAAATTTTCTATAGGCTTGTATTCAGACTTTGGCAAAACCAAGAACTCAAATATCCACGAAAATATAATTTTTCCTTTATACTGTAAATTCAGAAATTATTGCAATGTTTTTATTATTGTAATAATATAAACTCGCATTTTGAAATATTTTATATGAATTAAACAGGATTTTTCTCAATATCGCAAAAATTAGAATCGCATTTTAGTCTAAAATGACAAAATCACAATAATAACTACCCGCAATAATTTCTGAATTTACAGTAATCCACGAAAATTGGTAACCACAAAAATAAATGATTCAATGAAAATATTTAACTTGTGAAAAACATTATAATAATTATCAAACAATTAAACAGATGCAAATTGCATGCTCCTTGGTTATAAAATAGTTAACATCTTTTTCTTCAACTAGTCATCCTAAAGAGTCATGATGGTGAAGAATGAGAATCAGCTTAGATGGACATTATAATGAACGGTACTATATCCTATGAAGTGGGCCAATGTCTTTTGTTCAAGTCTTGTTTTGCTTTCCATCTAATTTTACGAATTTTTGATGATAATCTTAAGGCCAAAAGTGTCTGAAAAGAGAAAACAAAATAAAATTTGTCATTCCCCCCAAAAATTTTCAGTTATCTAAAATGTTTTGTAAAATGTTGGTGTGTACTGTGGATTCATTTATTTTCGTGGGTATCAATTTTCGTGGATTCAGGAAAACTTTCATTTTCATGGATATTTGATTTCGTGGTTTAATCAATCTCTGCATACAAAGCCTATGAAAATTTGCATTTCGTTGAACATTTGAATTCGTGGTTCACTTGTACCCACAAAACCCACGAAAATTGGTATCCAATGAATCCACAGTAACAATTTTCACGGATTTCCTAGTTACAGGTGAACCACAAAATTAAATCTGTATGCAGATTTTGCCAAAACCACACAATTCAAAATCCATGAAAATATAATTTTTCCTCAATCCATGAAATTGGTACACACGAAAATAAATGAATCCACATGTGTTTATAACCATAGCACACCATTAGGATGACTGGCCCACACTACACCTTTTCCATTTTCATTTAAATGCCTAATCTTAGTCAAAGCCCTATTTTAACATGCATTTTAATAAGTTCTCATTGTAAAGTACATGCATTACTTTACTATATAGTGTTTCAAACTTGTTTGTCAACAACTTCATGTTAGTTTCCTTAAACCAAAACTTTTACCTACTACAATTCAGAAATTATTGAGATGGTTTTATTAATGTGACTGGGTAAGTGTCACGATATAAATAAGAACTAGAATTCTTAAATCTGATACATTTATCTGTATGCAGCTTTTTCTGAAATCGCAATAATTAATATCACACTTTATCCATTCTTCAAAAATCGCAATAATAAATCACCGCAATAATTTCTGAAAACAAAATGATCACCTGATCAGTGAAATCAGGGTAAAAACCCTAATTTGGTATATATTTTTAATAGATTATCCTATAAAGAACATATATAAGTACTAAGTATCAAGTAAAGGCAACAACGACTTCACAGTAAACTAATTTTAACCTGATACAGATGGACAGACAAGGGACAGAGAGACACACAGACTGGAAACCCCACCTCCTACTTTCATAGGTGTGACATAAAAATGACCCCATCCAGGCACACTTTGCATGAGCAATAGTATATACCAAAATGTAGTCTGGTCAATGCATTTTCTCTACTTCTAGCAAGTTCAAGCCATTACTGACCATTTGTTTATATTACAATAATCAAAGTAAGGTTGGCTAGTTTTACATGTTTTAGTTCTACATTAAATGAAATTTTATCTATACTGTTAAATTTTATTTCTTGACAACATGAATAAAGACAATTCCTTTTGACAACAAACAGAATGAAATATTGGTTGTTTTTTTGTTGTTGCAATTACCAGGAAAAATGTCTAAGTTTGCTTAGTTGGTGTTCATGGTGATTATTTATCGTTTGAGAAACACCGAATCTATATTTTAACAAACAAATGATGCATACAATATTTGCAACAATATTCAAAGTTCAAAACGCTGGCTCTAAAATGTGTGAAACATTACTCCAAATAGAATACCTAAGTGCAAAGAGTGAATATACAAACAATTACTAAAATATAGTTACTGTAAACCAACTTGTTTTTGCAGAACTTTATTAAATGCTTAACCCTTTCTATCCCACTTTGCAGCAATTTTATTTCCCGATTTTCAAATTTACTTGATGTAGTTAAATCAAGAAAGATCCAAAATTTACATTTTTGCGCTGATATATCTTCAGACACATTATTTTCAACTACTGAAAGTCATGAAAATAAATCTCTCACGAAAATTAGTTGGTTTACAGTATACAGACAATTAAAACTGAAATAATAATTATTACTTCAAAAGACAATATTTGTTTTAATAGGAATTTTTTTTCTATGTAGGTCATCATTTAGGAAATTCTATATATCAATTTTAATCCTATCAAAAATTTAAAGGGAGACATTATTACCATGACAAAGGTTTCTTCCTATCATACCATCGACACCAACGAACCCTCTGAGAAAGTCTTTTGGCCATAGCACTCTGGAAAATAGTAAGCATAAAAGGGAACTGACTTTTTATATCAAGTCTCTTTAACTGGACAATAACAGCATATTGTACTCTACCCAAATCTTGTTTAGAATTCTCAGAGAGTTCATTGTGTATCAGTGTACATGTATGAGGGTCTGAATGGGGGTACTTCATTTCTGTACTTTTTAACTTATGTAATTTTTCTCTGTTATTTATACTTTTTGTCAATTATTCTCTATTCTTTATATTTTTTGTCCATTATTTTCTATTCTATATATTTAAGCATCCCATTATTCTCTATCCTATTTTTTTCTATTCTTTATTTTTTGGCCCATTTTCCTGTACATTTGACACATTATTCTCTATTCTGTAAACCCATCCAGACCCTTAGGTGTAAAATGGGAAGTAATTCATCATGTTCATATGAATTCAAAAATTTTCTGATTGTGCTACAAATATTATAAATTTTACAACAGCTACCAACTTGATTAGGATTTGATCTTTAACTTCTGATGACTATAACGACGTTTCGATATGTATCTCAATGTCCTCACTTTCTGGGAAACTGATTTGGTAAAAGAGGTCTGAAAAACAGACAAATAAAACTTTGGTCAATTTTTAAGAATTGTTGACAGTAAATTTTAAGTAATTTTTTTCATGATCAAATTGAATATATAACCAATTTTATTTGTCTGTTTTTTTAACATAAAAATGATGACCTGCAGTCAAAGGACTACTAGATTCAATGGTTTCAAAAATGTACAGGTCTGATCAATGTGAAAATGAGGGTAAGTTTTTTGTAGATTTAAAAAAAAAAGTTTGTACGTAATATTTTCCCGTTTTTTGGTTTATATCAATATCTTACAAGAATATGTGTCTATAGGACACCATTCCCAGCTAGTACAGTAACATTCTCATGTTCAGTCAACCGTAAAATCTAGATCAAAACCCTAAGTTGGCATTATTTTGAAATAGTTTGTGTGTAATAACTTTCGAGTTGATGTGACCACAACTTCAGGAAAAATTAATTAACACAAAAGTTTAACCAATCTGGACTGTCTAACAGACATACGCACTGACCATGCTGACCAGAAAACATAATCCCCTGCTATTGAAGACAGCTGGGCATAAAAATCAGGAAAGTTTTTTTTTAGCGTCGCTCGTAACTTCGTAAGTGCAACATACAACACACTTTTCAGTTAAACTGTCATCATAATTTATTGCATTAAATTCAACTTGGTATTCAGAAAAAAGAAACAAAATTTTAAAAGCTTTAAAAAAATCCTATAAACATTTATATTTTTTTTTTAATTTAAATTTGAATAGTACATGTATTACTGTTAATTTTTGGTATCTTTCACAGAAGGTGTTTCATTTCTGCAGTTCTTCAAAAAAACATATGGAAAATAAATCAAAATTCAAAAATATTCTGCCATTTCAGGGATCAAATAATGGCTATTAAATCACCGCTTTAAAAATTTTAACATCCTGCTACATTCAACAAAAATCTTCCCGATAAAGCCTTTTACAGTGGGGTGGTATTAAGCAAACATCACAAAAAAACAAACAAACACAGAGACTACCTGAAAGTCATATGAAACTTCAAAGGAGAAGTCCGGTATGGGCCGATTTTGGCCTCAAAATTCAGGTTCATCTGATGAAAGATTTTGGACACTTTTTAAACACTAAGGTGTCTACTTCAGTCGATTTGATTAGTTTGTGTGAAAGATTTGAACTGATTTAGTCATTAAAGACGTTCATATTCAAGCTTAAATATGAAAAATCTATCAAATATGCCATAATATGTCACTTTTAAGGTGGTTTTTGTCAAAAATGAAAGTGGCCGCATCCGTGTTCATTCTCAACCTTTATATATGTTATGTATTATCATCAAATACAACTTACATTTAAATATTAAGAATGAACACAAATGCGGCCACTTCCATTTCAGACGGAAACCGTCTAAAAATTAACCAAAATGCTAAAATTTCGAAGATTTCAGTTATTTAGCATGACTTAATGATGCTAGTACCCAATACATGTGCATTGTATTGTAAAAAACAGCCCATATTTATGTAACAGAAGTATTCTTCATTCCGATAAATAGCTTAAAATTTACATTTTAACAATTTTGTAAAACTGCTATATTTTGGGGCCAAAAAGGGGTCTTACTGGGCCTACTCCTTTAAAAAATAAGTTGAATATGTTCTATATACTTCAATGGCTAAGTTGTATTATAAAACAAGTGTACACGATCTTTCTTGTGAAAAAAAATCCATTATCTTATCAAAATCTTCAGGAATGTTGAATTATTGAATTATCTTCTTCCCGTATACTAATTTGTCGACATTTTTCCGTATGCAGTTACCTTAACTATTAGACTTCTCGTTTAAACTTCGGCCTACACACAGTGCAAATGCGAGGGAAAACCGCGATGACAGAATGTAATCAAACGTGCAATGGAAGGTAAATAATGATAATTGATTCTTAAAGAACAAATTAAATACACAAAACCATTTAACAACAGTTATTGAAAAGTTTATTAAACACATGGGAACACATAGAAAAATATTTAAATAAAATGCTTCGCTGAGCGCAGCCTGATACGACCGCAGAGGTTGAACCCTGAACAGTTGGGGCAAATTTGGACACAATATTCAAGCTTGATACTGTCTGAATTTGGATTGTGATCAAATTTTTGAAATAATATAGGTTTCTGACACAAAATAAATGTGGTCAAAGATCTTAATAAACTGTTAACACAGAGATATGTCTCGCCTATTTGTTATTTTGATAATGCAAATGTTGAAATTAAAATAGCAATACTTGAACATGTAAGTTATGCAAATAAAAGTCAATGAACCATGACTGAAGGTACAGGGCTAAACAATCTACATGGAAATGAGATGTGCCAATGCTAATACAACTGCAAACCAAATACCATTGACTTTTCATAAGCCGTTCCTTTTAAACAAACCTAAACACAAACATTAACTTGTAAACTATGTAAAAGTTTCAAAGTCAATGAACAATAATTAGGGGGTCGGGTTATATAATCTCCATGGAAATGAAACTTGCAAATGCCAATATTTACTTAACATTAGTGGTTCATTTTAAACTGACCTAATCACAAACCAATACATGTAAACTAAGCAAAAGTTTCAAAGTCAATAGACCATGACTGAGGGGTAAGGACCAAATATTCTCCATGGAAATGAGATGTGCTAATGCTTATACAACTGCATACCAATTATCATTGACCTACCACTAACAGTTACCCTTAAACTGAACTAATCACAAACAAATACATGTAAACTAAGCAAAGTTTCAAAGTCAATAGACCTTGACTGAGGGGACAGGGCTAAATAATCTCCATGGAAATGAGATGTGCCAATGTTAATACAAATGCATACCAAATATCATTGACCTACCACTAGTGGTTCACCATGAACTAGACCTAACCACAAACTAATACATTGTTGACGCCGGAAACAGCATACCTATGTCTCGCTTTTTGACTCCATAAAGGCGAGACAAAAATCTATTACAAAATACTGTGCAATTGAAGATTTCTTCTTGAAAATTTTCAAAAAATTTGAAATTTCAAAAATTTTGAAGAAATTTCATACAGATCTATTCACTTAAACAAAAGTTATTGTCTGGAAACCAAATGTGTCTTCGGACAATGTCGACGACAACATCATAGCATTATACGAATTACGTATATATTATTGCGGTCGTATAAAAATTAACATTGCTCTTTCAATTCACTTATTTTTTACATGCTCCACGTGCTTCTGTGTTGATTGTTTATCAACATCATGATCCGGTAAACTTCAGCAACAAACTCAAAAGTTAATGAGCTTGCAATCAACAATCACAGAATAAAATATTATGTGTCGATTATAAGTTATAGATTCGTAATAAATGTAAAAAACGTGCATATAGGACTTAGTTTAGTATATATATGCATGAAGCGGTTCAATAATTTCCTGAACATTAAAATTTTTTGAAACTCATTTCATGACTTTAAACCCTCATGCAATAGTACTGTCAACATCTTTTCTTTAAATCATAGTTAATTTTCAATAACAAACGAGTACCTACCCAAGGATTTGGTCCTCTTGAGGTTCCCACACATGGGTACCTTCTGAAGAAACTTTCAGCAAATGCTTGATAGTCATGTTTTCTAGGTACGCCTTTGGACAATAAATGATAGGCACATCTGGTGATTATCTTTGACCACATATGACGTGATGGTGGTTTGTTGTCCTCCAAAGCTCTCCTTACTATAGGATCTTCAAACGTAGGCAATTCAACATCTTTCCTGTACTGTCCCATTGCTGAAGCGGACATATTGTAGGTTGGATCATCTCTTTCTGAATGGAGATCATTTCCATAGTCTGCACTGTCAGTATCATCCATACCTCCTGAACAAATGATAAATACAAGTCAAATGTCTATCTTTTTTCTTTACACTGTGGATTTATTTATTTTAGTTGATCGAGGAAAAATAGTATTTTTGTGTATGATTTTGTGGTTGAACCAATGTCTCCATACAGACCTATAGAAAAGTGAACTTTGTTCAACATATCAATCCGTGGTTAACCTATATCCAACATGTCCAAGAAATCCTTGAAAATTGGTATCCTGCGAATAATTATGAATCCACAGTATTACTTAAATAAGGAGCTGCGCCATGAGCGCATGATACGCCTGTCGCTTTTTCAAAGAATAAAGTTCCATAACTCCTCAATGTCATATCAGAAATTTATAAAAATCTAAAGGGAGGTTACTTTAATAGATATAAACTAGTCACCAAAGTTTCATGAAAACTGCTCAAAGCACTTTTGAGTTATTGTCCGAAAACTGGAAAATCAACCCTTTTTTATGAATAAAATCCCATAACTCGGAAACTGGAATCTAAAATTTAAAAAAATCGAATGGGAGCTTACGTCAACAGATATAAACAATTCACCAAAGTTTCATGAAAACTGCTCAAAGCATTTTTGATTTATAGTTTGAAAACTGGAAAATCCCCCTTTTTTAATGAATAAAACCCCATAACTTGGAAACGTAAATTCTAAAATTCATAAAAATTGAAAGGGAGCTCACATCAATAGATATAAACAATTCACCAAAGTTTCTTGCAAATTGGTGAAAATGTTTTAGAGTTATTTTCTAAAACTGGAAAATCCCCCTTTTTTAATGAATAAAACCCAATAACTCGGAAACGTAATATCTAAAATTTATAAAAATATAAAGGGAGCTCACGTCAATAGATATAAACAATTCAACAAAGTTTCATGCAAATTGGTTAAAGCTTTTTTTAGTTGTTGTCTGACATGTTGGCGACGGATGGACGGACAACGGTATACCATACGTAAACGGGCATATAAAAATGCATGGTGTCAAGAAAAAAGAGTGATAAAATTGTGTTACTATTTAACATGTATATGGCCTGAGAGTAGCCATAATAACCTCAGAACCCTATTTCTTAAAATTTCTTCAACTAGGTAGAACTTTTTGAAGGGGTGGGTCATGTCCCCCTTGGACAAAACCCATGATAGTCTAAAACTGATAGATCAAGGTAAGTTAGAATATACTAGTATATGGTTAAGAAGACCAAAACCATATTTAAGATATTTAACAATTTACTATACGAGTAAGGTGGGACATGACCTCCCCTCTCCCAGGGCCAAACGTTTAAGTGCACTGATAATGTCTAGCAATGGCAGACAAGAAAATGCATGGTTTTAAAATGGAAACAAAAACATTTCTAAAATCCTTTATTTGACCATGAGGTCAAAAGTTATGATCTTTTCAACACATATTTAACAAATGGTTAATAAACAAACAGATTTCCAAAGTCCCCTGCGTTGAACATATTTTATCTATCTGAGAGCAATAACTAAAAAAACTTTTTTTGGGGGGTTCTTCAAAACTTTTTATAAATATCTTATAGAAATGAAGGCTTGACAAAGCTTACAATGCAATTTTCAATTTAACTAATACTTGCAAGGGACATAACTCATTTAAAATCAGTTGATGGGCACTGATTTTCAAACTTGTCCCAGATATTGATGACATAAACCTTCTATATAAATTTGATGAAAATCTAGGAAGAATCGTACATGTGAGAAAGCTTACAATGCAATTTTCATTATATTTCCAAGGGCCATAACTCTTTTAATAATATTTGATGGGCACTGATTTTTTAACTTGTCCAATTGTATATATGAAAGCGCTAACAAGACCAGATGGACAAAACCCACGGACGGACAGACAGACAAACAGATGGACACATAAAGTCTTCCCAGCATGTTTATTAGTGTTCTATTTATAATTCACACCGGCCAATGCTTTGTGCATAATAAGGTGTTGTCCTTGATTTTCTTATCCAGAGATTGTAGAGCTCCTAATAAGATGTCTTTCAAAATTTACACCTTGATCAGAATATATACATGTGGCAGATTGTAGTGTGCGCCAAAAAAAAGCATCTACGGATGTTCTTGAAGTTGTATTATTGGTGAGAATTGCCTGTGCATATCTTGTATTATGATCATATTGTAATACTCCTTTAGTGAATGGAAACGAAAATTAGATAAAAGTTGTTGTTTAAGGCTAGTACTCCTTAAGGTGTCATCTTATAGTTTCTATAGTGCTGGCATTTTTGTAGATTTGCTGTTTACAGTTTTTACCTATTTACATGATGTATAATCGATAATAGTTTTTGAGAAAATACTGTAAAATTCAGAAATTATTGAGAGTATTGCGACTGGATGAGTTTAGCAATAATAAAAACTCCCACTCTGATATTTGATACATCGATATGTATGCAGATTTTTTTTCTGAAATCGCAATAATTAATTTCACATTTTTGTCCATTCTTCAAAAATCGCAATATTTAAATAAATGCACGCAATAATTTCTGAATTTACAGCAGACAAAAACACTAAATTTTGTCAAAAATCATCATTCAAGGGCATATGGGAGTTTAGTAAATCATGTACTTCTACATATCTCATAGTTTTTAATAGGCAAAAACATCAAAATTAGCCAAAAATCGTCATTTAATGGCAATTAAAAAATGGGTGGTTACATAATTCCTACAAATTTGTAAGTTATTATATCAAAGTGAAATGAAAATATTTTTTTATGGGTAAGTTGGGTATTAAAAATGTGGATAGTGTCCAAATGTGGACACAGATGATGCCCCCGCTTGCATATCATATAGTTATAAAGGGACATAACTGAAGAACAGTAAAAGTTACGCTACCCAAATTTGATCTTGATCTGAGTTTTGTGGTAATAAGCATTGTGTGTAAGTCTCATAACATTTGGTTGAGGCTAACTTAAGTAGAGAACAGAAACTAAAAATTCAGCAATTTTTCTATTTGTAAACACACATAACTCTATACTGGTTGTGTATAAGTTTTATAACATTTGGTTGAGACAAACTAAATAAAGTTATAAAGGAGCATAACTGAAGAATGTTAAGTGAAGCTACCCAAATTTGTACTTGATCTGAGTTTTGTGGTAATAAGTATTGTGTAAAAGTTTCATAACATTTGGTTGAGGCAAACTTAAGTTAGAGAACAGAAACCAATAATTTGTACTTGATCTTAGTTTTGTGGTAGTGAATATTGTGTAAAGGTTTCATAATGTTTGGTTGGGGCAAACTTAAGTTACAGAATGGAAACTAAAAATTTTGCAATCTTTCTATTTATAAATTTATATAATTTTGCAATTTTTCCATTAGTAAAGGGGCATAACTCTAGAAAAGAAAAAAACGATACCACCAAAATTCCATCTTGATCTATATTTTGTGGTAATAAGCATTGTGTATAAGTTTCATAACATTTGGTTGAGGCTAACTTAAGTTAGAGAACAAAAACGAAAAATTCAGCAATTTTTCCATTTGTAATAGGGCATAACACTAGAACGGTTAAAGTGACACCACCAAAATTCAAACTTATCTGTATTTTGTGGTAATAAGCATTGTGTATAAGTTTCCTAATATTTGGTTGAGGCAAACTAAAGAAAGAGAACAGAAACGAAAAATTCAGCAATTTTTCCATTTGTAAAGGGGCATAACTCTAGAAAGGTTAAGGTGACACCACCAAAATTCAAACTTGATCTGTTTTTTGTAGTAATAAGCATTGTGTATAAGTTTCATAACATTTGGTTGAGGCAAACTAAAGTAAGAGAACGGATACAAAAAAAACAGCAATTTTTCCATTTGTAAAGGGCATAACTAAAGAACGGTTAAAGTGACGCCACCAAAATTCAAACTTGATCTGTGTTTTGTGGTAATAAGCATTTTGTATAAGTGTCATAACATTTGGTTGAAGCAAACTAAAGTAAGAGAACAGAAACCAACTTTGGGACAGACGGACGGACAGACGGACGTACAGACGGAGACGGACAAGGGTAAAACTTAATGCCCCCTCCGCTACGGTGGGGGCATAAAAAAGAGCCTCCTATGCCCCCAATCCGTTTAATTCTGGTACAGCCTTATGCAGTCATCTGACAATTTTGGTGCAAATTAGAAGTAGGAAGATCTTGATAACAGGAGCTTTTTGGTGATGTCTGATTTTCTCTATCTATTATGGTTTTCAAGATATAAGACAACTAATGCCTTTTACCCTAATGTTTTATTTTTGGTCATGGAGGACATGTTTGTTGACTGACTGGGGAAAAAAGAATTACAAACTTGATACTAGATACCCTAAAGATGATACTAGATGCCCGAAGTATAATTCACCCCGATTTGCGTTAAAATTGGTTCATTAGTTTAAGAGTTTAATGATGGATGATTGCCATTGCAAAAGCTCACATGGGACTTTATGGCCAAGGTGAGCTAAAAGTATAATTTTTAAATTTATTTGAATGGGAGAAGACATTTGATTTCTTAGATAACACAAAAGGTTAATGCATCATGGTAATAAACAGCTGCGCCATGAGCGCATGATACGCCCGTCGTCTTGTGTGTGAATTTTTATGCAATAATCATAAATAGTTTCTGACATACGGCGCGACATGCGAAAACCCCCCCTTTTTTTTGGATACGCCCGTCGAGGTCCAACCCTGAACAGTTGGGGCAAAAATGGACACAATATTCAAGCTTGATACAGGTCTGATTTTAGATTGTATTAAATATTTGACATATTATAGGTTTCTGAATAAATGTAGTCAAAGAACTTGAAATTGGTTATATGAATTGAATTTATATTCAATTAAAGATTTCTTGCTGTTGTGCAATACACTGTGCTGTTGCACAATACTTAGTAAATCTGTTGTCAGACTATAAACAATTAAAGTTCAATTAATTCTCAATGTCATATTAGAAATTTATGAAAATGTAAAGGGAGCTTACATCAATAGATATAAACAATTCACCAAACTTTCATGAGAATTGCAGACAGCA